GGGGTGGCTGTCGGCGTGGTTAGTTAGCGTCGGTCGCTTATTGCACCAGCGCAAATTCGACACGGTCGATTTGAGAGAAAGAAATCACAGGCCTCGTCAAATGTAATAGGGGGACAAAAAGGCTTTCGGCGAACACCTAACTCCAATTGTCACGTAAAGTTTGAAAAAAAATCGGCCAACGGTGAGGCGATATTATACCTAGATTACCGCAGTACATTGTGCGGGCACCGCCCAAATCCAGTCTTCAGTACGCAGGTACTCATTACGACGAATGTACCTTAACGACATGGCAAGGGCACGAAAGCGGGCGACAGTTGACTGCCGATAGCCATTATGGGATCCAACAAGTCTACGGCCCGGGGCGGGGGAGGGAGCGTTTAAAGGAGTAATCCCAAAAGCTTTGCGGCGATCACAGGGTTTTAAGTTAGTAAGCAGGTGGCAGGTGTTAGGTCTGATCTGAATCAGCTTTTAGAAAATAAGAACATAAGAGAGAGAGAGAGAGAGAGAGAGAGCAAGGACGATATTAGGCTTTTCCCACCACGGTGGATACTTACCACGCACTGATCGTCCAGACTGAGGTCAGTTATGTTATGAAAGGCAGAGAATTGCGTTCGAAAATCCTCAAAGGTTTGGCCGGGCAGAATGGGTTGACAGGGGGCCGGTGTGTCCAGGTGCTCAGCTGCAAGATGAGTGGCCATGAGTTGGTATTCGTAGAGCATGGACTCGTAGGCGCACATTCGAGCACTCCAGCGCTCCACACAGGCCAGATCGTAGAAGCACTCCAAGAAGACGCAGACCCTATCCGGCCGGTCCCCTTTCAGTGCCAAACTGAAGGGAATTCGGTTGTCCTGGCGTCCAATTCGGATGCACTTTCCATCGAGAACTTGCTCCTGACTCTGTGTCCCCGAACTTACGTCGGATGGGGTGTCATCATTCAGGAAGTAGGAATCGAAGTCTGGGTGTGCTCGCAGACGCTCCAGAATGACTTCAGGTGCCCTCAAGAAATAGATGATAAGGAAAGCAGGATTAATTCGAGTAGTATTTTGTTTGACTTCAATTGGCAGGAGTGGCAAGAGAGTATAATGAACTCTACGTTCGTCCGCTTTAACATATTTTTAAAAACATATTTTTAGGAAAAAACCAGTTTGACCATTTAACAGTATCTTTTGTTATACATGTACTGCAGTCTGTCAGCCATTCAGAGCAGGGTTCAGCGTGACAATTTGGCCGCCTACAAGCCACATGCCACATATGTGGCAAATTTTTCTCGACATCTAAATAGACTTCAATCGCTGCCGTCGCGATTTGAACTGAAGTTACATTCAGCGGCCGGGTAGGATTGGTAACCTCATCTTTACCAGATCCCACGATGTATCATGACGACGCAAGACTTACAGAACCCTAAATGCACTACGGAGTCCTAGGAAATATAGACAAGCCTGAATCGGAGTCTGCGATTTAAATACGTACGAAAAGGCAAATATCCACAGACAGCTTAATCGGGTCAAGCCTATTGCCTGATTACTCACAATTACGTTTAACCCATTACCAAAGACAGTTACACATACAAGCATTAGACACATCGGGTCACGGAGTGCATAGGATGCACCAAGGTCCTCAAGGCTATAGCGGACACATCCTGGGGCTGCGCGAAAGAGACTATGGTGACCACATTCAAAGCGCTGGCCAAGACGCGCGTCACTTTTGCGACACCAATCTGGTCTCCTATGATTAGCTCTTCCAGCTTCTGTCACCGCCTTCATTCAGCAGAGGACGCTGCCCTAAGTAGAATCACGGGTTGCTAAAAAACGTCGCCTATCGACCATGTTCATGCAGAGACTTCTGTGCTGCCGGTCGCCCAGGAATCACCAATCCAATCGGCAAGAGTGGTGATGAAGTAAAGATCATTAAATACTGAGATACGCCACTTGAATCTACCATCGTCTGTCTCTAATCATGGGTTACAATGTATTGAGGCGTTAGGCGAATAAAATTCTTATGGCAGGACTAGCCTCTTGCAAAGAAGGAATACCTGCTGCCCTTTGATGTAAAGGACCCAGGCACAGTCACTGACGATCGACACCCTCTGAATACGATAGGGAGATTGTGTCAGAAGGTCGCTAGACAGAGTTTGTATAGGAATGATCAAACTGCTAAAACCTGGTACAA